CATTTTACAACGTTTAAGAATTTACTTATTGAAACGAGCTTCGTAGCATGTATAAGGAAGAAGGCAGGCAGTGGGAGAGGTCAAGCAGTGGGGTCGATACCTGCCTGGGGAAAGAGGACAAGCTGTGGGGTTGATACCTGCATAGGAGAAGAAGACAAGCAATGGGGTCTATACTTGCCTGGGGGAAGAGGACAAGCGGTGGGGTCGAAACCTGCCTTGGAGAAGAGGACAAGCGACGGGGTTGACTCTATTCCAGAGTCCCTGGTATAGAATAAGCTGACCTGGCAGAGGTACTAATAGCTAATATTACTATACGTATTCAGAAAATTCAATGTATGTACCTTTAAAATATAATGGTTATATAACAGTGGTTCCCAAACTTTTTAGGTTCAAGGCGCCCTTAGAGGATCACTGTAGGGTCAGGAACACAAACATATATTCCTGACCCTAAAGTGTTAAAACCACCATCTAGCACCCCTGGGCCCCTCATGTCTCCATAAATATAGTAAAAATCTTACTGTAATCAAGCCTGAAGCTGTAACTCTGCATGCTATTTGACTCAGAAAAACAAGCAGTCTGCTGACATCATCGGAAGTGGTAGCCTGATCCAATCACAATGCTTCCCCATAGGATTGGCTGAGATTGACAACGAGGCAGATCAGGGGCAGAGCCAGCATGATTCATACACAGCCCTGGCCAATCAGCATCTCCTCATAGAGATGAATTGAATCAATGAATCTCTATGAGGAAAGTTCAGTGTCTGCATGCAGAGGGAGGAGATACTGAATGTTTGGATGCATTTTAGGGAGCCATGACCCAGGAAGGATCTCTAACAACCATCTTAGGAGTGACCAGTGAATTTATCACTAGGCTGTAATGTAAACACCGCCTTTTCTCTGAAAAGACTGTTTACAGCAAAAAGCCTGAAGGTAATGATTCTACTCACCAGAACAAATTCAATAAGCTGTAGTTGTTCTGACTATAGTGTCCCTTTAATATATCAATATTTTTTCAAGGCACTCCAAGTCAAAACAATTTTCTAAGTTGTATTTATGTACAGTGCTGTGGCATATACTGGGCCCCTGTTCGGCATAAATGCTTGCCGTTCAGGCACAGATAGAGAACCTAATTTTGGGAGTGGCACTGGTAGATTATTTCAAGAAACAATCCAGGCACAACAACCACTACATTACGTTGTAGTGGTTATGGTGCCAGTAGTGCTGTAGTGTCCTCCCAGGGTAAGTAGTCAAACTGTTTAAGAACAGTTTGACAACTTATCTGGGATCTGCCGGGATATATATATATATATATATATGTGTGTGTGTGTACAGGGGTGCATTGTGCTTGTTAAGGATGTAGTGTGTGTGTGTGTGTGTGTGTGGGGGGATGGGGGGGGAAGGTAGCGTGAGGGATACAGTGTGTTTGTGGGAGGGGCAGGTTGTGTGAGGAGTACGGTTTGTGTTGGGGGCAGGTTGTGTGAGGGGTGCAATATGTGTGTATGGGGGGAGTTGTGGTGTGGTGTCTGTGGGGGTAGGATGGCAAATTAAAACAAATAAAGTATATTTTTATTAATTAATTAAAAATTATATCCTCCCCCCCCTCCCAGGCAAAGGTAAGCAGAGAGGGGAGGGGGAATATCATTTTCATTTTCCTGCAATCCCTGGTGGGGAAGCCCTGGCGGTCCTAGTGGTGACAGTGAACTCTAGCAGCCTCAGGAGCTGCTAGAGTTCCATCTCGTGAGATTCGGAGCATTGCCGTGGTAACCGCGGCAACGCTCCGAGCTCGCGAGAGGAGAACCTGGTGGAGCTGCAGGTTAGAGCTCCCCCTGGTTCTCTCTTCCTCCGTCCCCTGCCCGCTGTCAGCAAAGTGCCGGTGACGGAGAGCACAGTTCCCGGTGTTATGATCAGCACCGGGAAACTATTTTGGGGCGCCCGTGTGGCACAGTTTGGGAACAATAGTGTAAAAACTTTCTTTTTAACCATTTTCTTAAAATCATAATAAAAATGGAACACTCACACTTTCCAGAGTTAGTTGTAATCAAAGATCTTTCAACCCTATTGAAAATCAAGTTTATTGTCAAAATATACAGACTTTCATCTGTTTTCAATGAGAAAATCAAACAAAAGCAATTAAAATAGTTAAACACAACGAATGCTTCAAGTGGTTTCCCCAAATTCAATTGAAAAATGCAATTACCAATGACTTCTCCAGTCTCAAGATTCTTCAACCCCCTAAATAGAATCCCTCACAGCAGCATCCAGTGTCCAGGTACCCCACCACCAGCAATGGGCTTTAACTCTGAAACTCATACTAAAATGCTGCACATGCATAGCTCAAGCACCATACCAACTTGAAATCACCAAAGTGGTCTTGGTGCAATGGAATAAGATTCAAAAACTGCTGTTCACTTATGGTCCCATCTATCCTGATAGAACCTTAGCAATAGCCAAGCAGAATGGTCAGTGATCCAGATGTGTAAAGCTGGTAGAAAATTGCGCCACTGCCTTCTACCCAAAGTAGCATTGGCACTGGACTTTTTAATGTTATTTATAATGTGTAAAATAAACAGACAAAAGTAAAAATCTATTTTATTTCCAATTTGAAATGTGGAGGTGACTGGGCGAGGATGTGAATGCTTAAGCAGAGCCCTCTTGGATCGTGTAAGTTTATTAAAGTGTGAGGTAAAGGATGAATCCAATGCAGGTGTTCGATCCACCATTTTGTGCATTTGGATCCATACCAAGAAAGCTGGTAATGAAGTTGTACAAAATGGGAGGCATTCTATAAGACAGAAAGAGCAGCCATGTTGCGCTGGCCACGTTAGATTTTCCTCATACTGATCATAGGCAGCACAGTAACAATTTTGCAATGTATATGTAGCATTCATATGCTGCAGCAAAGACATTTCCTTTTAGAAATCCTTAATTCATTATGCTATCCTCCCGCTATATACTGGTGTTTTTTATGTTGGATCACACTTTTCACAATCCAATTGACTTGGGAATATTGAAATATATAGTGAATATATTATTCACTAAACTGAGAACTCATGGAGTGAATTCATGGAGAATTTAAAATTGAAAGCCCATATTTAAAGAATTCCTCCAAGTGGGCTATTTTGGCCTTAAATTTGAAAGTCACGAATTCTCGCTTTAGTAAATAATCTGTTAGTGTGATTGATGACAATTACTTTAAAGGGACACTATAGTCACCTGAATAACTTTAGCTTAATGAAGCAGTTTTGGTGTATAGAACATGCCCCTGCAGCCTCACTGCTCAATCCTCTGCCATTTAGGAGTTAAATCCCTTTGTTTATGAACCCTAGTCACACCTCCCTGCATGTGACTTGCACAGCCTTCCATAAACACTTCCTGTAAAGAGAGCCCTATTTAGGCTTTCTTTATTGCAAGTTCTGTTTAATTAAGATTTTCTTATCCCCTGCTATGTTAATAGCTTGCTAGACCCTGCACGAGCCTCCTGTATGTGATTAAAGTTCAATTTAGAGATTGAGATACAATTATTTAAAGTAAATTACATCTGTTTGAAAGTGAAACCAGTTTTTTTTTTTCATGCAGGCTCTGTCAATCATAGCCAGGGGATGTGTGGTTAGGGCTGCATAAACAGAAACAAACTGATTTACCATATATACTCGAGTATAAGTTGACCCGAATATAAGTCGAGACCCCTAATTTTACCACAAAAAACTGGGAAAACTTATTGACTCGAGTAGAAGACTAGGGTGGGAAATGCAGAAGCTACTGGTAAATTTCTAAATAAAATTAGATCCCCAAAAAATTATATTAATTGAATATTTATTTACAGTGTGTGTATATAATGAATGCAGTGTGTGTGTGTGTGTATATAATGCAGTGTGTGTATGAATGCAGTGTGTGTATGTGATGCAGAGCCTTGGTGGGGGGTAGGCATTTTTATTATTTTTTTTAATTATTATTTTTTTCTATTAATATATTTTTTTAATTAGATTATTTAAATTTTTATTTATTTTCATCCCCCCTCCCTGCTTGTTAGCTGGCCAGGGAGGGGGGCTCTCATTCCCTGGTGGTCCAGTAGATGGGCTGTGTAGGAGGGGGGCTGGCAGCGAGCTGTAACTTACCTTTCCTGCAGCTCCGGTCAGTTCCCTTCTCCTCCACTCTAAGTCTCGCGGTGTGAGTGCCGCGCGGAGCGTTGCCACTGTAACCTATGGCAAGGCTGTGACCCCGGTGGGCTCTTGCGAGACTTACAGTGGAGGACAAGGGAGCTGACAGGAGCTGCAGGAAAGGTAAGTTACAACTTGCTGCCAGCCCCCAACAGGACCGCCGGGCTTGTAATGAGCCCGGCGGTCCTGGTCTGTATTATGGCAATGTAAGTTGCCATAATACACACATTGACTCGAGGTATAAGTCGAGTGGGGGGTTTTCAGGACAAAAAATGTACGGTAACTCCTAAATGGCAGTGAAATTGCAGGGGAATGATCTATACACTAAAACTGCTTTATTTAGCTAAAGTAATTTAGGTGACTATAGTGTTCCTGTGAATGACTAATTTCAGAACATATTCCATATAAACAAAATGTTGATATATGTATATTTACTCTGTTCACTCCCTAAAATTGATCTGATTTGATAACCCTGTTATCAATAATGACCAGGAATAAATAGTGCGTTTTATAAGTTAAACCTTAATGAAACAGATAAACCGCCGGTTATTAAAGCCCTTTAAATCTAACTCTACAGTACACCAGCTGAGGTGAATCAGGGGTTAGGCTGGCAGTGACACCAACTTGACCCCCTTCACCTCAGAGACTCCCACTGAGCGCTTCCTCCCCGCCCTCAGCTGTTTTAAAAATCCTCAGCAGGCCCCGCCCACCCGTACATCGCTTTCCTATTGGCCACTCAGTCGACAGTGCAACTCCTTCGCCCATTCGCTCAACCGCGAGTTACCACCTGGTGACGGCGAGCCCTCTCCCGCAACGGCTTCTCATTGGTCGACTCGGCTGTTTGGGTGGGCGTGGCTGCTGCGAGCGTGCTGAGTTACACAGGACACAGTTGCTTTTTTAAAACGAATAAAAAAAATTAAAAAAAAAACAACACACGCGCGTACCACGTGGGTGGTGGAGGCCGTGACGTCACAGGTTTGAGCGCAGAGGGTGTCTCGAAGCGCAGTGCGCGAGCCGGTGAGCGAGCGGACTGGTTTGGCCGTTGGTTGGCTGATTGGCACCTGGACGGAGCGTTGTCTCGCGGGCAGCTGACCGTTGGGCAAGAGCGGGAAAAGCCCAGTATATAAAGAGGTGAGCTGGGGGAGCGCGGTCCAGTCAGCGAGTCCCTTCACAGGGGGCGCAGCAACATCATCTGTTAGGGAGGATGCACCTGTCACTGTCAAAACCGCACAACACATACACACTGCTTGCTGCCTCGCCCGTCACAATCAGACACAACCCCAGACAGTGTACGTGACATCTCCGGGCAACACTGGATGGATGTCAGTGCCATTGTCATGTATTGGAGCTTTCTGGGCGTTCGTGGTTTACATGTAAAAGATTGAACCATGAACTGTGCAGCTTGTTTGTACATACATTGCCCTAGAAACCTGTTAGAAAATCTGGGAGGGGACAGCCTTTTAATAAGAAAACAAAGCATCTCCTTAGAGAACTTTCATCAACTGGGATATAGATGTATATGTTTGTGTTTTAATACTCTTTTTAACAGTAGCTACAAAGTCATGATTGGGATGGGGGAGCTGTTCAAACTCTGTCTCCTACAAAAATCTCTCGTGTTCCTCCCCCCCCTCTTTTTGTATAACCTGTATCTGTAAAATTTGATAAAAAATGTAAGAACCCCAAACTGTGCAAAGATCTGTGTGGGTTGATTAGTAAACTGAACCTTCAAGATTTGGACAAAATGTATTTTATTTTTGGGCAATTTGGATTTCAAGTCATGTTTTGCTTTCTTTACTCAGAGATTTGTGGATACTTATTCATAACAAACTAATATGATGTTTTAATTGTCATTGAGTAGAAATTCACCACTGATTCGTGGGAGATAGACCCCCCTCATGCTTGCAGTGTTGTGTAAAGTTTACAGAGGAAAACAGCTAATTTAGAGGATTTTTTTTCCTGTTTAGCAATTTGAACTTTTAAATTTGAAATTCACATCGCATTCTGCCCTTACTTGGTGAATAATCCTGTTTGGTAGAACTGGGAAACATGGAATGGTGGTGGATTTATATATGGAGTCCAAACTGGCTGAACTGGAAACACATACAATTTCCCCAATGTGTTTTGTACAAATCCTCTTAGTTCCTGTTGATCTTCTCTTATAACTTCTTCCTGTGCACAAACCTCTTTATTTTAACTCCCAAATGTAGGTCTTGTGGTCAGGTATGGTGGAGTATGTGGACCATGGAGAGGAGTTTAGATGTTCAGTATTTGGTTAGAATCCGTAGAATCTCCGAGTTCTTAGTGACGGAGAGCAATGGATACTTTGCTCAGAAGCAGTTCTCCAAATATCTCTCAGGTCCTAAGATGAGTGAATCAGATCAGTGCTCTGTTTTGTTTTGTTAGGGTTTTTGGTGGGTGATGTTCTCCCCATCAGACTTGTATTAACGGAACAAAAAATCCTAAATGTATATATTTTAATTCCAAGGTGTAAGGGCAGTAATCTCGTAGAAACGAACCCTTCTCCAATGATGTAATCAATACCGATGACTTTTATCCTGTAAGATACCCCCTCATAGAGAAGTATTGAGGACATACATGACAATCTGCTAATCTAATGCTTCTCATATACCAACACTGAATCCAATGCTTTTCTATAAAATGTATTCGCATTCTGCGTTTTTAAGTGGTGCGTGATTTCACCAAATGTAAAGTCCTTGTAAAAATAAAGCTGTAAGGAGGAAGAGCTACTAGTGGCCTATCTGTGTGACAGGCACTAGAGGTTTGTTTTTGGCCAAATGCAAACTTCTGTTTCTTGGAAACTTCAATCTTTTCCATCATCAAAAGGACCGATTCTATACTCCAAATATACTACATTCAAATGGAGTGGTTTTGGTGCTTAGTGTCTTAATTATTTTTTTTTGTCAAGCACACAGCAAGATTAAAATTATTCTCACAAAATTTAGGCAATTTAACCTTTATTGAATATACCTGTGCACTGCTTTGCCTTTTTATTCCCTCAGTCTCGCATGTCATGTATTGATTGCTGTGTCTGAGAATTTGAGATGACATTTTGTAATACAGTGCTGCAGAATCTCTCGGCTCCCCATCAAAGCACCTATTTCCTACCAAATGCCATGTACTAGTAGTCATTATTGAAGAATACCACATACAGATTCATGTCCTTCACTCCTCACTATTGTTGCTGACATATTTTATTGGGACTCTTCAAACCCCAGAACTATTGCAACATGTTACATTATCACTTCTTATTATAGTGGTTGTGAGTGACACTAGGAGTTTATGGGTGTAGTCTCTCCAGTTTTTGTTAAATGGTTTTCAAGAGGTTTAATAAAAATGCCTTGACACGTTAAACCCAACCTCAGATGGAGACATGGTAATAAGGTAGCTCCTCTTCCTGGTCATGAATCCAAATAATTGTATGGCATTGTACTAGACTTGTGGACAAATCCTTTTCACCTGTGAGGAGCGAGCAATTCCTATTAATCTATGCCTGAATGAATCTATCAGTCTGGGATTTACACTATAGATTGATTAATTTGATCAAAGATTAACAGGAATTGTATTAATTTGTCACAGGTGAAAAGGAATTGTGTACAAGTAGAACGCTCACTTCATTCAACAAGACGCTGTGAGCATTAACTTATAGGTGGTTTGGCTGATTACATTTCCTTATTATCGTCTGCAGCTGGGGGGCGAGTTTTGGTTGTCTGGGAATCCTAAAGAGTTTCTAATAGTTTGAAAGTGTTTTGATGAAAATAAAGTAAAATTGCCTGACCGAAAATGCTGCAGGCAAAAAGAAAACATGATTTCGAATAGCCATGGATAGTTACAAAATTGTGGCTGGGATAACTACTAAGGTGCATAAAGATAGCTGAATGAAGGGGAGGGGAAGGAAGGCATTGGATTTCTTAAATTACAATATACATGTACATTAAAAAAAAAAATAACAAGATGGCATTTGTAACATAAAGATTATACAACGATTTTAAAAAGAATTATGACATTGTTCCTTAAAACCGGAATTGTACTTGAGCTTCTGAGAAATGCAATATCTTCCATAGAGCCGCATGCTTCTACTTGCAATTACCGTGTGGTTAAAATTAATTTAGATGTTCCAGGGTAGCCAAGCATATGCAGTGCAAAAAATATAAATAAGCTGTACCTATATAGGGGGCATCGGAAAGCAGGTCATGTGTGGACGAGCATAGACGTTTGTCATTGGTCGACTGGCGAAATAATAGAGGGATTGAAGAGCATGCAGACAGCAGGTCTTCGGTTTTTGCAAGATGATAAAAATTTTTTTGCAGGTTTCCTTTAGGGGTACATCTACTAAATAGTTTTTAAACTGGACATAATTGAAAATGAGAGAAATCTCAATGTATCCTTCCTGGTAAAATATTTTATAAGTAAATTAATTTATTATTGGAGAGTAAGGTTAATGTTTTCATGTAGTGCACAGAGACCAGGCTAAAATTTGCTTAGCAGTGAATGTGGTTTGCATTCGGTAGTTGCCAGATTAGCCAAGCTTGAGACTTTCCCAGCTGTGCCACGTGACTCTATATAAATAAATGTATACTCACCAAGAATGTGTACTAATGACAAGGCCTGTCTCTAAGGATTACTGAGATATATTTAAAATGCACCTGTCATGCACACATTCTTTGAGATAGATGCATGCTCTGCGCCAGACCATCAGTAAGATTTTTATTTAATAATCTGTCATGAGAAAGAAACGTATTTATTAGAAACCATATCAATTATCTAGACGTTTATTCACTAAACTGCAAAATGTTGAGAATTAATAAAGGAATAGCAAACTTTAGGTCCTTTTGTTTCAGTGGACGGGAATCGTAGGCTAAATGCCTGGGCTTAGCCACCCTCCATACAGCCAATGAAGTACCGGTAATTCAAGTTTTTTTTAAAAATTAACATATTCCCTCTGTTGTGGGGCTAGAATTTTGGTGCAAGGAGACAAAAACCAGAGTGACGTCATACAAAGCCTTGATTCCCTTTAACTGTTTAGTACAGGTCTGCAGTACACAGTTTAAAGAGTGGTTCTTGGCCTATGCTATTACAGTGGATGGAACAGGCATATAATATTTATAAGGCTGTAAAAAACTGCCCATAATAAACTAGATACTATATTGTCTGTCTCCCCAATGGCAGTTAAGAAAATGGTGATTGTTGTGCACACGATAATAATGCATAGAGCATGTTCTATTCTCTGGCCAAAGCACATTCCAACACACATACTGAGTTTGTATTGTCAGCCATTCCTCCAGATTTGTCGTAATTTCCATATACACTATTGGATAAGTTTGATTTGTAATATGTATACAGATTACACGGATTAGGTTTATTCACTCATTCAGCCCACCAGCAGGACTATATGTATTAAATGGAATTAGCATTCCATAACTGGCGGCTGTTTATTATATTGAATGTAGCAATATCTGCTCCACAGCCTTTAATCCTGCACAAAATGTTGCATAGTACTACAATGTATGAAAGTTTAATTCCCAGCTCTCTGATTGGCCTGTTTTACCAGTGTTCTAAGCAAAGTAATTTAAAATAAAATACTTTTAGGAATGTTATCATGGCTGGTGTTTTTCTCTGCATATTTGGAGTAAGATGAGTGATAGACCAAACTTTGTGTGTCATTCACAGCCTTCTTCCTCCCAGAATCCCCATGTTGCTCCAGGAGACCAGCGCTGGGGACCGCCTGACACGAGCAGCAGCTCAGGGAGACCTCTCGGAAGTCAGGAGACTTCTCCACCAGGAACGGATCCACCCTGACTGTCTCAACAGCTTTGGGAAGACTGCTCTTCAGGTGGGATTTCATCATCATCGAAAAAACAAACATGGAAATCAATCCAACTAGGGAACAAACTCGCTGTTTATAAAATGTCTTTACTGAAGCGATAACAGTGATACTATTATAGATCACATTCTATTATATATGTTTTTATTTTTATTAAACCGCATATCATGCACCACTTGTTTAATGTGCATTTTATCTGTTAATTGCGTTTCTCCTGCATAGTGTTCTTTTGATGCAAGGAAACTGTCCAGAAACAAAACCTGTATGGTTTTGGTGGCTGCCTTACTTTGAACACCAGCTACCTTTTTTCCAGAACCTTAATTTTTTATGACCTGAACAGAAGACAGACTCCCTTGGGCTGGGGTGGGGTGTCCCCATTGTTTCTGGTGCTTTTAAGGTGATGGCCAAATCCATTGTTGGGACACTCCCTGCGTTTTGGGTGTGTGCTTAATTACCTGACAGTGTTATCCACACCCAGCAGGCAAGGGTTAATTGAAATTATCATCCTGCCCATGTAAGAAACATTTTATTCCTAGCTCATTTCATTTTGCTTCTTTTCACATGTAAAAATCTGCATCTACTGCTTCCTATTCCTAGAGCTTACATGGCTTTCATTAGTTTTTTTGGAATGCTTAACTCGCGCTTGCTTAATTTCTAACCTTTCATGTAGTAGGCTACCAAAGTACCACGTGCCTAACACCTAGGACCTCTAAAACACCACTTATGATTCCATATTTTTAAGGAACATAGTCAGTTATGTTCAACCCTCAATGAAGTTGTTATGGGGGCTGGAACCATCTTGGCTTCACGGGTTAAACTTGTTTTAAACTGTTTGTTTAACCCTGATCTTCCAGAAGCTCTGCCTCCTCTGTCATCCTCTCGCAACCTGTGATGGTCTGAGAGCATCACCTGACACCCTCAGCTTATGACTGGCCACCCATTGCAAGTAATAGTACTTACTGTGACTCCCATTGGGCGGCCTGTAACTTGCTGTGAGGATCAGCTGATACAGCCTATTATCGTCCTCCAAGGCAAACTCTCTTAGACTGTTCAGCAGCTAGGGGAGGCAGAGCTGTCAGATGCAGAGGCTGACTTTTTGTTTAAACTGGTTAATAATGGTTTAAATCCTCAAGGTAAGATGACACCCAGGAAATCTCGCCATCATAACAACTTAATTTTAGAAGTTAAAGAAGCTTAAATATATATAAAAAAAAAAGATCATGGCAGGTTTCCTTAATTCAGGTAATTGTCATTCTTCTTATACTCTGATTTCATGCAGCTGTTATCTCCTTTTTTTTCTATTTTTCCATAAACTAATTTGACAATGTATCTCTTGCTGTTCAGGTTATGATGTTTGGCAGTACACCAGTGGCATCAGAACTCCTGAAGCAAGGAGCCTCACCCAATATTCAGGATACCTATGGCATAACCCCTGCACATGATGCTGCCCGCACTGGCTTTCTGGACACCCTGCAAGTCCTAGTTCAGCATGGAGCTGACCTTAACACCCCTGATGCCTCTGGGTCACTGCCTATCCACCTTGCTCTCCGTGAAGGCCACATTCCTGTTGTTGCGTACCTTGCTTCTCGCTCTGACTTGGAGCACTCAGATCGTGAAGGCCACACACCACCACAGCTGGCTGCCATCTTAGATCCTCACCTGGCAGCCATCTTGGAACTTAGCACGTAGAGGACACACATTTACGCTACTTGAAGTGCCACAGGAACAATTGGCATGGAACTCTGTACCATGGCCTAATGCAGTACTTGTACTAATCATTTTATAGATGCTCTTATTCTCTGTCTAGGGCAGTGTGTCCATATTCAGCGTTATTTTTACTCCCCACGTAAAAAAAAGTGTCTGACCTGGTATCATTCACTGTGTGGGATGTAAACTAACGAGGTGTGTGTTTATGATTGGGCTGGACAGTTGCCCTCTTCAGCTGCCATGCTGAACCTCCCATCACTCTCAATCAAAATGTGAATTTTAGCTCATTCACAGTTCATTGGACAGTATTTCCTCAACCCTGCTTTGAAAATAGTGATGGGTCAATGCTAATGGTTTCTGAGCACTTCTGTGTTTGCATGCGTGTGTGTGTGTCTTTGTATAGTGTGTGCATGCATGTGTACAATATGTGTTTGCTTGGTTACGTACAGTTATTTTAATACTCAGGTCATGTTTATGTTCCTTATTTGCACTCTTTCAAACTATACTTGGACAATATTTTCCCCTATCCTTAATGCATTAGCAAATATGCATTGGGTTTTATTGAGTAAATTGGGAATGGTGAAAAACGAAATTGCAACTATTGAGATGGCCAAGCTAAAAGAATATCCAGAATTGAAAAATTATTCTAATTTAGCCTAAAATGTGTGATTATTGTACACAATTCCTGGTATAATAAATAAATCCCAGAGTATATAAATATGTAATCCCTACATCTAATGACATTTTCCATGACCTCTATTGCCTAATTTGTATTATTTTTTTTTTTTAATTTAAAAAACAAACAAAAAAAAACCTGTATTTAAAAACAGAAAAAAGGCACTTCTTTAGACGAAATCAGAAATGTGAAAATATCAGCATTTTGTAGCTGTGTAGAATTTTTTCTGTGGCTTTGCACATTGCTCGCCATACTGCTTTTCGGGAGGGGCTCATTAAAGAAGGGTCATGAAGTCTTCTTTAGTCCACATAGAACGAGCATCAGAAAAATGAGCAGTTGACATATCTCCAAAAAAAGAATTTTCACTTATCCCTCTCACATAATGAATTGTAAATCCCCTCACGCCTCTGCAATACATTCATCCACATATCTCAACAACATATGTGGGAGGCCTGTGATATTTCTAAACTGCTTAACTGCTCCCTTCATTGTAATTAGGGACCATGGTGATGATGCAGAAACACATTGTACATAACCCTATGCTAGCCATGGCTTTCTGTAAAGGCTCAAATGGGAAACTGGGGCTGAGATGCTGCAATCATTAACAGTATATGTGTCGGAGGATAAGAAACACATTGTAGAACAATGATGTGTTTACTCCTGTTTTGCTACTTCTTGCAATAAAATATGCAAAAAGTGCAATTTAGAATAAAGCTACAGAAATGGCCATGGATACTTCACAGAATGATGTAAAAGAGAAGGGAAGTTGTACAGCTTGTGTGCTCTGAGCAGGCACACACTCATGATTGAGACAGGTGGGTTTATAGCTACAGAGTTTTTTTGCAAGGTGCTTAAGTCATATAAGTAACTCAAAAAAGACCAGGGAAATCCTGATGGGATCTATTAAAAAAAAAAATAATTCCTGTAGTTTTCTAACAATATACATATTTATTCTTGTCTCATACTTTGGAATAAAATAATAGCTTTCAAAAGGACAGGTGCACTGGAAAAAGAAGTATCTAATTCTAATATTCTATTCTGCTAACCAGCATCCATAGCCTTTGCGATTTGTGCAGAGCTCTTAATCCTGTAATATAATTGCTCTTCTGGCGAATGTGCACGTGGGGTGCTTAGCATGCAGTTTACAGTGGTGACAATTAAAATCCCAGGTATAAAGTTTAAAATTACAGACTCTGTTTGCTAAGCTCCGTCCTGTGCAGTGCACAGTTTAGTCATCAATGTTCTTGTTAAACTTGTGATTCAGGAAAAACTCTGAGAAGTTTTACTGTAACTTAGAAGTTAGTTTGCAACAGGGCTCTGCTGAGTCCCTTCTGTTTTCAGGGAAGGTCTATCTTTTAATCCCCTTTGACTTAATATTAAACTCTGCAGCATCCAAACTATGTATCCTGCAGAACTCTCATTACCTATCTGGACAATTTCATAAACAGTGGAGGACTTGCATCCATCATTTATCTTGTTTGCCATGAACACTTATTTCTCCAATTGTTGTATAAGATCCTCGGTGACGTTACTAGTATAGGGTGCTAAAATCCCATGTGAATACTTGCCACTTTACAGTCTTATTCAATATTGCCATTTTCTTGATTCTTGAAGAGTTAATAAAATACACCGGTAATTTTAACAAATGGATGAATGAATTGCACATCCAAAAACAAACTGCACAATGATTACAAACTGTATTAAATATGTTTTATTATAAATACAAATTAATTTCCAAATGAATTCTTAATATAGATTTTTTTTTTTTATTATTATCATTATATATTATATATAATATTTATTAAGCATTTGAAGAAACTGTTTGTATTTTACTGATTTTTAACTATTAAATTAATATTTGTGGACTTGGATTTTATTTTTTGCGTTCTGGATTTGCTGTTTTATTTATAGATGTCCGTTCAATTCCCAGAATATTGTAAAAGTCAACATTTATGAGCTGTTTTAACAATGAATAAACATTGTATAATGTAACCTTCCGTCTGGCATTCCTAAGTGTGAATATGTTCTTTGTTATAATTGCCCGGTTTGGAATTGTGTGGGAAGGAGAAACATTTTGTGCAAAAATGAAGGACATTTTTGTCATTCACTCTGTAGTTTGAGCAACAGACTCCATGTCCCATAGTCCTCTCCTGTCTGTGTCACCCTGTGCTGGGAGGGACAGACTCCATGTCCCATAGCTTCCTCCTGCCTGTGCTGGGAGGGACAGACTCCATGTCCCATAGCTCCCTCCTGTCTGTGTCACCCTGTGCTGGGAGGGACAGACTCCATGTCCCATAGCTCCCTCCTGTCTGTGTCACCCTGTACTAGGAGGGACAGACTCCATGTCCCATAGCTCCCTCCTGTCTGTCACCCTGTGCTGGGAGGGACAGACTCCATATCCTATGCATCCTCTATGTTTACCCTTTAGCTCTCCTTTCTTTTTAGGGCTAGCCCAGTATGATGATCATATAATACCACGAGTATTTCATGTGAGATGAGTTATTAACTAAACTGTGACTTTCTGAGTGGATTATATAGATGGAAATAATCCTATGAACTGGATGTGTTGATCTCAAACACCGTTTAACTTTTGCAACAGCAGATCTTTTTTTATTTACGTTGGGATTAAATAATGTATAAAATCCAATCCGCTGCATCTCCAGCTATTTGATTCCAAACTATACTAAGTGAAATGAATGTAATCTAGAACTTGTATGTTTTACGTAACGTACATTTTTCACAAATTCCTAATCCTTAAATTCTTGTGTGAGATTACACACCAAGACACTGAATGGAATAATGGGCTCTATGCACTAGAACAGCCTTAGACTGTTCGCCGGATAAAATTGGATTAGCCATGTTTTGTGCTTTGTCTGAATAATAATAATTAACTGTGTAACATGCACTGAAACCTCTAAGAGGAACACACTTTATATTGTAGCCTTTATCTGCGGGGGCGAGTAAAAAATAAAATAAATCACAAAAAACAACCTTTTTTCTTTGCTCCATTTCCATGGTGTGGTGCACCTACAGATGAAGGTTTACAGAGATATGCGCTCACACCAGAAAATCAAAGTGAGCAAATGGTACCTCTATTCTTTTATTTGATAAAGAGTTGAGACACAAAGTAGTCTTGTTTTTGAAAGTACATTATGGCTGATTTTAATAAACTCATATGGAGTGTCATGTGATTGAAAATGTTCTAAGACCAACACGCAATTAAAACAATCAATTTTTTTTTAAACAATAACCGCTAAATGTTGGCGATTATGTTTGTGAAAAAATCTTACAAATATCAGTTCCTCTTTAAAAGAAAACCCCGTATAATATTTTTAAGCACTAAAGGAGTAAGACGGAAATTGCCAGTGAATTAAGACATAGCAAGTTATTGAAATGTGCCCGTGCCCTTAAAGGCGAACTGTTGATTTTCTGGAAATTTAAACCATTGAATAAAATATGAAAAATAACCTACAACTTGTGCAACTGTATTGTGTATGTGACCTTACATTTTTTTATTTTATATAAATGTATATAAACCATTACATGCCTTTGCAGTGGTTATGGTGCTAGCGCACTGTGGATGACATACTCCAGATCTGGGTGAAACCTATTTTTGAGAGGTTTCCCAAGGTGCACACACATCTTGCCCCAGCTCGTCCGATTACTAACGTGCAACTGGGGCTTCTGTGACTGGCAATATCAATATTGTCCATATACCAGCGCGGTGTCGATAGGCTGGGTGTGCCATTTTATTTTATTTTTCAGACCGCACAAACCATGATTTGTTATGTATAGGGGATAAGTAAACACAATATTAAAAATTCTGTAAAGTGACAGTTTCCCTTTAAGGTACTATATAGCCTTTGCCATGAAAAGGTTAATAGTATCTTCGCTTTTGCCTTTTCCATTTACTTTTCATTAGGACCAATGCAGTTATGGTGTCAGGTCTCCTTTAAATCTTAGGGGGCGTGGTTCAGTGGAATGCTCCAAAGGGCTTTGAGCATGCTTCCAGAGATGTGATTGGCTGCCTTTGGAACGCATGGAGCGGACGTTCGGTATCACGGGATTGGCTGGTTAGGAAGGAATGGAACGCTCAGTACGGTGGGCGTGGTTTCAGCCTATAACGTGGTTCCGGGTCACCCAGCATGGCTGAGCTGAAGATAAACCGCAAGTTCGCCGAGCGCTATGATCGGTACCGGGAGAAGGAGGAGCTGCAGCGGCGTGAGTCCCCGGGGCTTCATACATCGCCCCACCTTCTGCGGGCGCTATTTATTGAGCCCCAGTGATAGCTCCAGCCTGCTGTGCTGGATTTACTATTGGCCCATGTTACTCCTATAGTCTCTATAATATGACAAACACACACTGAATAAATCCATACATCCCAAGTGTCCCTGTTAAGGAGGGACAGTCCCTATTAATACCCTAATGTCCCTCTTCTGTAGGAGCTCCATATTGTTGGTGTGTCTGAGTGTATAACAGAGCTCCACAGCAATAATACTCCCAGTAATGTGTCTGAGTGTATAACAGAGCTCCACAGCAATAATACTCCCAGTAATGTGTCTGAGTGTATAACAGAGCTCCACAGCAATAATACTCCCAGTAATGTGTCTGAGTGTATAACAGAGCTCCACAGCAATAATACTCCCAGTAATGTGTCTGAGTGTATAACAGAGCTTCACAGCAATAATACTCCCAGTAATGTGTCTGATTGTATAACAGAGCTCCACAGCAATAATACTCCCAGTAATGTGTCTGAGTGTATAACGAAGCTCCACAGCAATAATACTCCCAGTAATGTGTCTGAGTGTATAACGGAGCTCCACAGCAATAATACTCCCTGTAATGTGTCTGAGTGTATAACAGAGCTCCACAGCAATAATACTCCCTGTAATGTGTCTGAGTGTATAACGGAGCTCCACAGCAATAATACTCCCAGTAATGTGTCTGAGTGTATAACGGAGCTCCACAGCAATAATACTCCCTGTAATGTGTCTGAGTGTATAACAGAGCTCCACGGTAATAATACTTCCAGTAATGTGTCTGCGTGTATAACAGAGCTCCACGGCAATAATACTCCCAGTAATGTGTCTGCGTGTATAACAGAGCTCCACAGCAATAATACTCCCAGTAATGTGTCTGAGTGTATAACAGAGCTCCACAGTAATAATACTCCCAGTAATGTGTCTGTGTGTATAACAGAGCTCCACAGCAATAATACTCCCAGTAATGTGTCTGAGTGTATAACAGAGCTCCACAGCAATAATACTCCTAGTAATTAGAGATGTCGCGAACCGTTCGTGAACTTCTCGCGAACGGCTCGCCGCGAGCTCCGGTCAGCTGACACATCCCGGCCAATCTCCGGCAGACCCTCCCACCTCCTGGACAGCATCCATGTTGAAGCTGCCTTTAACATGGATGCTGTCCAGGAAGTAGGAGGGTCTGCCGGAGATTGGCCGGGATGTGTCAGCTGACCGGAGCTCGCCGCGAATGGCGAGCCGTTCGCGGGAAGTTCGCGGACGGTTCGCGACATCTCTACTAGTAATGTGTCTGAGTGTATAACAGAACCATTCGGCCCATCTAGTCTGCCCAATATTCTAAATACTTTCATTAGTCCCTGGCCTTATCTTATAGTTAGGATAGCCTTATGCATATCCCACGCATGCTTAAACTCCTTTACTGTGTTAACCTCTACAACAAATCCAAGAGAAAATACCTTGGCCAAAAAACAAAACATGATTTCCTTGTTGATTCTTTGCAATTTGCGTGATTACTTTGAGAAAAAGAGGTGCACATTTCTATCAGTGTGTTTTAGCCTTGTTCGACCATTCAGAATCCGTTATGCATAAAACATTTGGAGGTACAATAACTTGTATTCAACAACTTTCAATGATTATTAAAACCAATATGCTAGAACCACCCTCCACCATCTTCCAGGCAGGATTTCCAGTGTGATGAAAGATACTTCCGATCAAAGATTGATGCACAAAGAAAGGAGAGCAGAATTAATTTCTTTGTTTAATCTTGCAGTGAAAGATCGCTATGGGGACACACAAGATAGTGATACATCGGGCTCAGAGTCAGAGGAGGAAGAAGAGTTGGTGAGTGAAATATATAAACAATGTAATTGTAAAAGTCTAACTCTGTGGATAACCTTTTTATGTCATTAATAATTCCTGTTTTCTCTTTAGATGATTGATCCTAAATTGGACAAAGAATTTTATCGCACCTTGTCTCTGCTCAAAAAGAAAGATCCTAAAATATACCAAGAGGATGCCACCTTTTATACAAGTGAAGGTAATGATCAGCATCCTTTCATTAAATTCTTGCGAAACAAACTCACCTGAGACTTTAAACCTGTCACGAGCGATAGCTGACGCTCTCAGCCTATCACTACCTGCTATTGCTGGTATGATTTGGTATGGCGTAAGGTGTAGCATAAACCCTCCCCCTTAGCCGTTTTGTCAGAGGGGTCTGGACTACAGGTGCCTGTGGACCCTGAATCACAGTTTAATAATAAAGCGTAAAAAAAAAAAAAAAATTTCAATTAAAATTTTCCTTTATTTTAACGGCAGGACAGACTCCTCACAGATATGTATGTACATATATTACCACCCCTTCCCTTAGTGCCCCTTTTTCTCTCCCCCTTGTTCCCAGTAAGTCTCCTACCTTTATTGTAGCGTGGCTGAGCGGAGTAGACTGCGGTACAGGAACTTCAGTTTCCTGTACCAGGCCGGACTGACAGGAAGTGCTCGCTCAGTAAGCACTTTCTTTCGGTCCGGCTGGGTACAGGAAACATAAGTTCCTGTACCGCAGTGCACGCTGCTCCGCTCGGCCACGCTACATAGAGTGCCTCGCAGAAGGGAGCGCTGTGCGCCCACCTCCTGCCGGTCACTCTGATCCAGCACCCCCTGGGCCGGTGCGCCCTAAGGTGGCCGCTTGAGCCACCTTATTGATGCGCCGCCCCTGTTCAAATTGTAACGCTATGCTTATTGACTCTAAACCTAAATTATATCTTTGGTTTTCAAAAGTTTTCAGTGAGGAAGCACCTCTAGTGGCTGCCTGTTTGATAGCCATCAGACTAGGTTTTTTGCCTTTTTTTGAATCAACAGCAAAAACATATGTGAGGAAGGCTGAACTTGATGGACGCATGTCTCTTTTCAGCTATGTAACTATGTAAGTGTGTTGTCTGACAAATGTCAACATTGATATTTTCCAGAAACGGGCAGCATCTATGCACCAAAACCACTTAATTCCAGCGCGCTGTAGTGATTATGGTGCTTTAAAAAGTGGGTTGCACTTGTGAACTATACATTATACACAAAGTTGCTCCTATGCAATTTATTTTATTGTTAATGCCAATGTGCTCTACTGAGAGGGTACAGCGGGAGTTTCTCAGCATTATATCTAGCTACAAATGCTGATAAATTTCAAGTACAATCATTCAACTCATTTTTTAAAAATAATTGTTATTAATTTTTTTTTTTTTAAAGATAAAAATCACATTGTAACGAAAGGGCTAATATATTAAATGTACATCAAATACATTAACGTTTTATTTCATCTGTTTGACTTGGCATTCAACTTTATGAAATTTTTCTGTGTCTAGAGCTGGCTGATGTTAAACAGACAAAGTCCGTTAAAGAGAAGCCTATGTACCCGAAGGACTACGAGCGAAAAGTTATTCTTGAAAAAGAAGGGTATGTAGCACGTCTGAAAAAGATTATGTGGCTGAATGCCTCTTCAAGCATTAAAGAGTTTCTCCCTTAAACAACTTTAGCTTACTGGAAAGCTTTGTGTGAAGAGTGTGTCCTCTTTTTATTTATTTTTTTATTTTTTTAATTTTGCAAAAAGTGCAGATTTCTTTAGATATATTGTATAAATTATATATAAATATTTATATTATATATATATATATATATAATTATATATATTAACATAAAATAACCTGGTTACACCCCCTTGGCTTTCAAGTATACAATAAGTAATGTTACTTCCTGGTTTTGTTAGCTTAATGCAGCTGACCTCAAGAGGCTTCAATTGCTCAGAGCACCTGACTTACAAAGAATTCTCATTGACCTGTATTGGGAAGTCTGTGATTGGACAGCCACAGAATGTCTGGATGGGGATAGAAGGGGAGGTCTTGGAAAGGCAACAGACAAGAGAACTGCTGATTTTAGATATATCCCCAATGAAAAAAAATACATAATTAAATGCATACTAGTTTTCATTTGGGGTATATCTACTAAACAGTGATGTTTATATATTTTGTATTTGGGCAGTGGAGAGTCCCTTTAACATAGTATCAGGGCTCTGGTATGCTTTAAATTAGGTGCAAAGTATTCTAGTAAACAAATAAAATAAAGGAGCAATGATGGCACCACAGAAACGGATAGTGTAAAGTCACCCAGTCACTCCACAAAGCACAGCAACTCAGTGAATAACCAGATACATACATTGTGTGCACTGACACCTTGTTTATGGTTATTTGCAAAGTATTCTAATTTGCAAAGTGTCCAATCTTTTGTGAGAGAGGGGACTCTATAATCACCTAGGCGACTTGATCTCAATGCATCCCTTGCCTAATCTGTATTGTTCTGCTATCAATAAACCATTTTTCACATAGTAAACGCGTTAAAGACAGACCCGTTTTTTGCCATGTGTCCTAGCTTGTCACATTCTTGTACAATGTGTCTGTACATTGAGTTAAAAAGGAAAGAAAATAATCCCATAGCAATACAGATTAGTGCCGTGTTAACTTGTAGCGGGGTAATACAAGTTAAGCCTGGATTAAAAAATATGAACAGTATCAAAATATCACCCCTGTATCTGGGTCCATCATTTTTTATCTTTCATGGCTGTAAACATATTTGAACTAATGGTGGCTTCAAATTATTGTTTTCATTTTTTTGTTTTGTAAAGAAAATATGAGGATGAAGAAGATTCGGAAGAAGATGATGATATTGAAGATCAGGTATTTAGCAATGGGCAAAGATTAAATAACGACATTCACACACTGACAGACCACAGAAATACACACCTACATTCACACACTGCCAGACCATAGAAATACACACCTACATTCACACACTGCCAGACCACAGAAATACACACCTACATTCACACACTGACCGACCATAGAAATACACATCTACATTCACACACTGACAGACCACAGAAATACACACCTACATTCACACACTGCCAGACCATAGAAATACACACCTACATTCACACACTGCCAGACCATAGAAATACACACCTACATTCACACACTGCCAGACAACAGAAATACACACCTACATTCACACACTGCCAGACCACAGAAATACACACCTACATTCACACACTGACAGACCACAGAAATACACACCTACAGTCACACACTGTCAGACCATAGAAATACACACCTACATTCACACACTGACAGACCACAGAAATACACACCTACATTCACACACTGCCAGACCACAGAAATACACACCTACATTCACACACTGACAGACCACAGAAATACACACCTACATTCACACACTGACAGACCACAGAAATACACACCTACATTCACACACTGACAGACCACAGAAATACACACCTACATTCACACACTGACAGACCACAGAAATACACACCTACAGTCACACACTGCCAGACCACATAAATACAGACCTACATTCACACACTGCCAGACCACAGAAATACACACCTACATTCACACACTGACCGACCATAGAAATACACATCTAAATTCACACACTGACAGACCACAGAAATACACACCTACATTCACACACTGACAGACCATAGAAATACACACCTACATTCACACACTGCCAGACCATAGAAATACACACCTACATTAACACACTGACAGACCATAGAAATACACACCTACATTCACACACTGACAGACCAGAGAAATACACACCTACATTCACACACTGCCAGACCATAGAAATACACACCTACATTCACACACTGACAGACCACAGAAATACACACCTACATTCACACACTGACAGACCACAGAAATACACACCTACATTCACACACTGACAGACCACAGAAATACACACCTACATTCACACACTGACAGACCACAGAAATACACACACTGACAAACCACAGAAAGACACACCGCAGACCACAGAAATACACACCTACATTCACACACTGACAGACCATAGAAATACACACCTACATTCACACATCGACAGACCATAGAAATACACACCTACATTCACACACTGCCAGACCATAGAAATACACACCTACATTCACACACTGACAGAACACACAGAAATACACACCTACATTCACACACTGACAGACCACAGAAATACACACCTACATTCACACACTGACAGACCACAGAAATACACACCTACATCACACACTGCCAGACCATAGAAATACACACCTACATTCACACACTGCCAGACCATAGAAATACACACCTACATTCACACACTGCCAGACCATAGAAATACACACCTACATTCACACACTGACAGACAACAGAAATACACACCTACATTCACACACTGCCAGACCACAGAAATACACACCTACATTCACACACTGACAGACCACAGAAATACACACCTACATTCACACACTGCCAGACTATAGAAATACACACCTACATTCACACACTGCCAGACCATAGAAATACACACCTACATTCACATGCCAAACAAATATGCAATTTAAGTATGTAACTGCAAGGTATAAGATGTGGAAAATCAAAAACTCTCTGTGCTCATGTGTTTGTATTAGTAAGTAGTTTTAGGCTGGGTTTAGAGCTTTGCACATTCAATTTTTTTTAGTCTTGCCCGGATAACAAATCTAAAACCTATTTTTGGAATTTTGTAATAATTCAATAAAACTGTATATTAATCAGTGTAAATACATATTGGCTAAAGCAGGGACCACAAACACTAGATCTCTTTTAGATGTTCCCCATAATAAGTGACGTACAGTGTAACAGTAGCTGGAGGGCTTATTAGACCCCCTTGATTTATAGTGTATTAAAGGGATATTCTAGGCTGGACTATGCAGTAATGCATTTAAAAAAAATTAAAGCAACTTACATTTGAACTTACTGCAAAACCCTTGGTTGTAGATCTTCTGCAATCAGCTGTCATGATGACATTATGTACAGCATTATTAGCAAAAGGGGAAGGAAACACTGCATGTTCGGAGGGAGGCACAGAAAAGGATAGATTTATAGAGCGAAACCAATTTTCTTTACTTAGTTTGAAAAAAAAAATAAAGGAAACAATATAAACACTGTCTGCTTCATCTCACTAAACTGGTTATAGTGTCTGGAAGGCTCTGATGACGTCATGTCATTCAGCATTAAACATGTTTAATGTATTAATGATAAACAAGAGTCCACAGCAGCCCATCCTCTCTGTGCTGCTTTGGGTAATGAGGAAGTAGTAGCCCCAGCAGCAAAGGGCAGCTGTGATTGGCTGAGAGTGTCAGCTGACTGATTTAGCCTATCAGATCTTCAACTGACGGTATAGAGGATATGACTATTAGGAAGTGTGTAATCTCTGCCTTAGCCACACCACTAGAAGGGGCCGGACTGTGGGTGACCAGGGACCCATTTTTAGTGTTAACTGCTCAAAAATGGTTCAGCACTGCATTGAGGGACAGTGTCCGGGGACTCCAGGCACTATAACCAATTCAAAGAGCTTAAATGCTTATAGCGACTTCAGTGTCCCTTTAAGAAAAATTCCCCTGCCAGCATTTGCGAGGGACTGTATTTTAATCAAGTTGTGTGTGGCTGCACTAACTATCACTTCTTCCTGCAGAGAGCCCGATCCCCAACTTACCTTGAGCAACAAAAGCAAATCAGAGATAGGTGAGTGTAAGTGGGGGGCGGGGGTTTGGGACACTTATTTTCAAAATGTTATCATTCATTGTTAAATATCGTGTAATCTTTTTAAACCTACAAATACCACAAGATGTGGTACTGTGTCAGACCCTTCCATGCCAACCTTTAAAGAAGCACTTTAATATTTATGTGCTGTATTCCACCCTCAAAACACTACTGAAATGTATAGTTTGTCAATCAGCAAACATTACAACGGCAGACACAGACCGTGTCTATGCCCTGCCATTACGGTTTGTCGTGTATTTTTTTTTTTTTAATGTGATTGTATCAGCGGACTTGTGTTCACGCGTTTCCCTGCAGACCCACCTTGTGAAAGTTCATTGGCAATGCTTGATTTGTTTGGACATATTAATACTCCATTGATGTCAAAAATCTAATGAAAATTAGCAAGCATGTGTCTGTTACCTGTCCCTGTTTCCCCCAATGAGAAAATTGTGACCGGCCGCTATAAGCTTATTGAACAATTCAATAATTAGATCTAATTCAAGCTAAACAACATTTCCCATTAATTTCCGGGAAACCAAAAACACTCGTAGCCTAGAATGAGAGGCTGGTGTGCCTGTGGCTTCTGCTTGCAACATATTAGCAAAAGCAGCAGGAACGTTTAAGATAAATATTTTCTTTTCTATTTTGCATATTTTTCATGCATTATCTATGAATTTAAATGGGGATGTGGACACTTTGGAGACCAGAATATCCCCCTTTATCAGCCCATACTAGACTCAAAAATGTTACATGGGAAGTTACAGCTCTGTCATTGGTAAAGTAACATTTCACCATGTTCAGTTAATTTAAATATTTAAATACATAAAATTGCTGCCATATGTATCCCATAAAACCCTGCTATGGGATACAGTCTGCTCTTTCAGTCACAGGGTGACACAGGAGTAAGCTGGGAGATATGAAGTCTACCCCTCCCAGCACAGGGTGACACAGACAGGAGGGAGCTATGGGACATGGAGTCTACCCCTCCCAGCACAGGGTGACACAGACAGGAGAGAGTTATGGGACATGGAGTCTGTCCCTTCCAGCACAGGGTGACACAGACAGGAGAGAGTTATGGGACATGGAGTCTGTCCCTCCCAGCACAGGGTGACACAGACAGGAGGGAGCTATGGGACATGGAGTCTGTCCCTCCCAGCACTGGGTGACAGACAGGAGGGAGCTATGGGACATGGAGTCTGTCCCTCCCAGCACAGTGTGACACAGACAGGAGGGAACTATGGGACATGGAGTCTGACCCTCCCAGCACAGGGTGACACAGACAGGAGGAAGCTATGGGACATGGAGTCTGTCCCTCCCAGCACAGGGTCACAGCACAGTGAGGGAGCTATGGGACATGGAGTCTGTCCCTCCCAGCACAGGGTGACACAGGAGAAGCTATGGGACATGGAGTCTGTCCCTCCCAGCACAGGGTGACACAGACAGGAGGAAGCTATGGGACATGGAGTCTGTCCCTCCCAGCACAGGGTGACACAGACAGGAGGGAGCTATGGGACATGGAGTCTGTCCCTCCCAGCACAGGGTGACACAGACAGGAGGAAGCTATGGGACATGGAGTCTGTCCCTCCCAGCACAGGGTGACACAGACAGGAGGGAGCTATGGGACATGGAGTCTGTCCCTCCCAGCACAGGGTGACACAGACAGGAGGCAGCTATGGGACATGGAGTCTGTCCCTCCCAGCACAGGGTGACACAGACAGGAGGGAGCTATGGGACATGGAGTCTGTCCCTCCCAGCACAGGGTGACACAGACAGGAGGAAGCTATGGGACATGGAGTCTGTCCCTCCCAGCACAGGGTGACACAGACAGGAGGGAGCTATGGGACATGGAGTCTGTCCCTCCCAGCACAGGGTGACACAGACAGGAGGAAGCTATGGGACATGGAGTCTGTCCCTCCCAGCACAGGGTGACACAGACAGGAGGTAGCTATGGGACATGGAGTTTGTCCCTCCCAGCACAGGGTGACACAGACAGGAGGAAGCTATGGGACATGGAGTCTGTCCCTCCCAGCACTGGGTGACACAGACAGGAGGGAGCTATGGGACATGGAGTCTGTCCCTCCCAGCACATGGTGACACAGACAGGAGGAAGCTATGGGACATGGAGTCTGTCCCTCCCGGCACAGGGTGACACAGACAGGAGGGAGCTATGGGACATGGAGTCTGTCCCTCCCAGCACAGGGTGACACAGACAGGAGGGAGCTATGGGACATGAAGCCTATAACATCTGTGTTTTGAAACCATTTCCAGATAATTAACTGTTTGTTTTTTACAGCTTCCGTCAGTTTGTCGAGGATAGCGATAGCGAGGAAAATGAGGGCACTACAGCAAACCTGCTAACTAAGCGTGTCAAAAGCAAGAAAGAGCAAGTGAGTATAAATCAATAACTGCGGCTTTCTCAACTGAAAACATTTACTGCAATCTGTCCATTAAAAATAATTCATCAGATGAACATTCTTATGGTATACCAAATCATAGCAGATTGCCATTCTGAAAGTTTGTCAGAGCTCTATGTTTGGAATTGTATAATAATCTCCATCAGTTAAATAAGTACTTTCACCCCAACAGGAAAATGAAGAGGAGGAATATGTGGCTTGGCTGAAAGGTCAGAAGGACATCACGGATGAAGATGAAGTGAAGGAATTGGTGAGTAGAAGGATGTTCCTGCTCGTCAATAGAGAACATTGATAGAAAGGCTGAGAGCGGCTGGAAGATCAGTAACCAATGTATTGGAATTCATTCTGGAACGTCTATAGATAAGACACCTCATATCTGATTTCCACTCCATATACATAACTTCAAACACGGGGAAAAAGGAAGGTGTGGGGGCAGGGAGAGAAATGTCTAAAACTGAATGTACAAGGTGACCAGTGGTGATATATGTACATAAATACATGCACACATTGGTAGAAATCATTAGCGTGCTGCACTAAGGACTAGGAGAAATACCATCAGAAGTCCTTCATTGTACATCGTGGCCCAGGACATGATCAACTTCCCCGAGGTTTATAATTAGTATGTGATAGTTGTAGGGCATTCATAATCTAGAGCTTCAGAGACAAAGCTATACAGTGACTCTTTATTATACACCCACAGGGTTATCTGAAAGACTACTGGGCTAATCCTACTCTGGACGAAGGGGAGAAATTTCTGCGTGATTATATCCTGAATAAGGAGTATGTAGAAGAGGATTCGGAGGAGGAGGAGTGGTGAGTTATACTTTGATAAATACACTACAATAATTCCAAATGTTTTCACACCAATAATGAACATGCTGCACTGTTTTCTTAATTTCTGCATAGATACTCAGCACAATTATACATTGCAACGGTTCTGTTCCTGTGTGTAGGTACTTAAAATCACTATATAGTGCATCATGTTCTTAAAGGGATTCTATAGTGCCAGGAAAACAAACCAGTTTTCCTGTCACTGTTGGCTCCTGCAGTGCCCCCCTCCCTTGCGGCCCCCCACTGTTGGCACTGCAGGAGCCTACAGTGCCAGGAAAACGGGTTTGTTTTCCTGGCACTATAGAATCCTTTTAAGGGGTTAAAACCCCCATCCAGTCACACACCTGAATCCTGCGCCGATGTCCTTGGCGCTGGGTCAGGTTCAGGCCCCGCTCCTCCCCCGCTGGCGTCAGCCCGTGGGGAGACCTAATGCACATGCGTGGCAATGGCCGCACTCGCATTAGGATTTCTCAATAGGAAAGCATTATTCAACACACTGCACTGTATAATAATACTGAGTATCTATACACTGATAATGAACACATGCGCTGTATAATGATTCTGAGTATCTATACACTGATAATGAACACATGCGCTGTATAATGATTCTGAGTATCTATACACTGATAATGAACTCGCTGCGCTGTATAATAATACTGAGTATCTATACACTGATAATGAACATGCTGCACTGTATAATAATACTGAGTATCTATACACTGATAATGAACACACTGCGCTGTATAATAATACTGAGTATCTACACACTGATAATGAACACACTGCACTGTATAATAATACTGAGTATCTATACACTGATAATGAACACACTGTGCTGTATAATAATACTGAGTATCTATACACTGATAATGAACACACTGCGCTGTATAATAATACTGAGTATCTATACACTGATAATGAACACACTGCACTGTATAATAATACTGAGTATCTATACACCGATAACGAACACACTGCGCTGTATAATAATACTGAGTATCTATACAATGATAATAAACACCACTGCGCTGTATAATAATACTGAGTATCTATACACTGATAATGAACACACTGTGCTGTATAATAATACTGAGTATCTATACACTGATAATGAACACACTGCGCTGTATAATAATACTGAGTATCTATACACTGATAATGAACACACTGCGCTGTATAATAATACTGAGTATCTATACACTGATCATGAACACACTGCGCTGTATAATAATACACACTATCTATACACTGATAATGAACACACTGCGCTGTATAATAATACTGAGTATCTATACACTGATAATGAACACGCTGCGCTGTATAATAATACTGAGCATCTATACACTGATAATGAACACGCTGCGCTGTATAATAATACTGAGTATCTAAACACTGATAATGAACACACTGTATAATAATACTGAGTATCTATACACTGATAATGAACACACTGTATAATAATACTGAGGATCTATACACTGATAATGAACACGCTGTATAATAATACTGAGTATCTATACACTGATAATGAACACACTGTATAATAATACTGAGGATCTATACACTGATAATAAACACATTGTGCTGTATAATACCAAGTATCTATACACTGATAATGAACATGCTGCAATGTATAATAATACTGAGTATCTATACACTGATAATGAACACACTGCGCTGTATAATAATACTGAGTATCTATATAATACTGATAATGGACATGCTGTGACAGTACATTGTGTTTTGGTTTTTCTCAGCCCACCTGCTCTGGAAGAGGCTCCACATGTATCTGACTCTGAAGATGAAGGGGAACTTTTTTTAAAGAAACAGGAAGACTTTGAGAGAAAATACAATTTTAGATTTGAGGAGCCAGATTCAGACTTGGTAAGTACATTTAGCTGATTGGCTTTCTTTCCATGTGTGCACCATACATGGATAAACTTTATGGATCATTGACTTATTACATGCCGGTATTTCCCTGCAAGCATCCAATAAGAGATGGCTTATCTGCCCTTCTCATCACTCTATTACCTGTGCCATGTCGAACTGGAACACTTGCGGGAAGGTTATAGAAACCTGTTTCCTTGACTGCCTTACTTCTTACCACTGTGTATACAGCAAACATCTCCACCACTAAACTAGTGGTGTTTCCATTACTTTCTGCATGGCCTCTCGATCAGGGCTAGGGAACCTTCGGCACTCCAGATGTTGTGGACTACATCTCCCTTGATGCTTTGCCAGTATTATGGGAGATGTAGCCCACATCATCTGGAGAGATAATCTAGATAATCCGTGCAACACATTTAGCTAGGATCACTCGTTAAAGGTCCACTCTCTGAATGTGTTGCTCTGATGCAGCATTATTGCCAGATGCTAAACCTGGTGGCGTAGATGGCTGCCCAATGTTGCTAAAACTGTTCGATTGTGATGTTCCCACATTTCAGGATGATGATGATGCAGATGCACATTTCTGGACTAGACTGGTTTATAAGTGGTTTCATGTTGATGGAAACATTATAGTACCTTTTATTGGAATTGTTAGTGTTATTTTCTTTTACCCATATCCGTACAGCTCAGTGTTTGTGACCTGATCTCTATCTGTTATTTCTTCTCCTAGATCAAGACATTCCCCAGAGCCATCGCGCAGTCCGTGAGACAGAAGGATGATCGAAGAAAGAGGAAGAGAGATGAGATAAAGGAGAGAAAGCAGAAGGTTAGGAGTCAGATATGCTAGAATAGGAAGAGGTGCTAGGATAAAAGGATGGAGACGATGGGGAAGCTCCAAATGCAGGGTTTGACATAGATATTTAAAGGGGCAATCTAAGCACTGTAGCCCACATGCACCTGACACAGCTAGAGTTACATTTTCACAGCATTCACATTCTTTGATAAAGTTCATGCCACTGGCACCCAGTGGACTCTCGGTTTATGTAAAGCCATTGATGTGGCATGAAACAGAAATGCAATTATTACATGGGGTGGGCTGATACGATAACCTTTTATAATGGTCTGTGGTAGAATGCTGCTTTAACAAGATATTAACACCTCTACCCTGAGCACAGGATAAAGAGAAGAAACGGGAAGAACTGAAGCAGCTGAAGAACTTGAAGAGGAAGGAGATACTGGAGAGACTTGAGAAGCTCCGTGAGCTGACTGGAGAAGGTGCACTGGGATTGAAAGAGGAGGACCTTCTGGAGGACTTTGACCCAGAGAAACATGACCAAATCATGGAGGTGAGACCAATAATTCGAAATAGTATGACTGAGGTTCTGACAAATCCATAATGCCAATTGTGAGAGGAAGTTGACCACAGCTGTATCTGTTCCATCAGAGGGTTTCTTTTTTGAACACTTTACATTCTTTCCTCCAATAGAAATTTTTTGGTGATGAGTACTATGGCGTAGAAGAGGGAGAAAAGCCGCAGTTTGAAGACGAAGAAGGATTGGAGGGTAGGCTTCTCAGTTTCGTACTCATTTTTGATCTATTCATTTATTTAGTACAGGAATTCAGGTTCATAACTAACTTCTATTACAAATGCTTTACTGGTTGTTCCCTGTGTTTACCTTCTCCCCCATTTCACACAGATGACTGGAACTGGGACACCTGGACAGGTCCAGAAGAAGAAACAAATAATGCTGAGTGGGAAGAAGGAGAGGAGCTAGAGCCCAACTGGGATGACCCTGAGTTTGTGGTATGGTTTGCTTCCTTATTCCTTCGTACTCCTTTCTTGGTCTCTAGTATAGATACCTAGAAGGGTGTCATGGGTGACGAAATACAATCATATGCTAACCAAATTGCTATCACCTCTATAGAACAGTTTACATCTCTGTTCCATCAATAGTTATAAAATACTAGTACGGCTGTTCTGTTGTGACTGAGCATCTATGTATTTTCAGCATGGCCTCAATACACAGCCGTGTTCGTAGGATTGTAGGACCCCGTGCTTATCATTCTTGAAGCTCATCGCTGCAAACTTCAAGCAAATATGTCTTTTAATCACTGCACGTGCTGGTGATTTCACCATAACAATATATAGATAAATAGTGTTACCAACCTCAAGATCCACTTGTTCTCCAAACAGTTTGTAGATAGGCCCTACTTAAAATTTTTAAAATGAAAAGGCAATTATGTTTCCATGTGTCATCTTTCACTGTTTGGATAAAAGTTTGTGATTTTATATTTTGTATTTGGAGTAGCATCTTTGACTGTTTCTCTTTTGTTCAGATGGATGCAGACTATGATCCGAATGCTGCTCCCGGACCATCTCGCAGGGAGAGGAAGAGAATGCACATGGAGGCCGCGAAAAGTGGTAAAAAGAAGAGAAAGTCCAAATTTGCAGAAGTCGTGAGCAAAAAGAAACCAGTGTTCGACCCAGGTAATATTGGGAGTTAATACGAAGCATGGACCCAGCTATCATCCTGATCTCTAGATTGGTAAAGTCCGTGTTCCGGCTGCGTTCTGTGTGAGGATTGCCCCCTCACCTTTGGTATATGTAGGTACTCCGATCAATCTGCATGCTTGAGATGGTTGGTCAGTCAAAAAAGCTTAGACTTTTAATAAAAACATAGGACAAGGATAATAATGAGTAAGTTCTCAAGCCTAAGATTAGTTTAATAGATGGAGAAAATAAATATTATTTGGAAAAAAATAGGACTTTTGTTTTCAATGTGCAAGGGAATAAATGAAGTAAAATAGAATATGCAGCTATATTCACAAACTGAATAGATACAGGTATATCCAGACGAACACAAATAATAATATTAATTAGTAAGGAAAAGCCACGGTCTGCTTACCCCATGACGTGCAGAACCATCTGTGCTTGTGTATGCACTGAATGGGAACTTCATGGACGTGCAGCAAAGGCCAAGTGGTTGAGTCAGAGAGAGAACTCTGTATCCATCACTTTGTTCTGCTAGAAGGAGCCTCACAATTTCTGTTTCCTAAACCCAGCTAGAGTACCCTGAGGTTCATTGTCTGCTTTACCTAACCTTTTTTAGTGTAAATTCTTTAATGAGATAGAAATAAATTACTGTGTAAGGGGAGAAATTGAGGTTTCCGTGTGTGTTTGGTTCTTCTTTCAAACTGCATAAACTCGGTGAAAGAGATGTGATTTTACCATGTTAAAGTGGGATCTCTTTATATGTGAAGTTTTTCTTTATTTCAAAAAGTACAGATTTCAATAGAAATTGGCACTTTTATAAATTAACCTGGTTACATCCTATGGCAGTCGGTGAGACAATCAGTCCTGTTACTTCCTGGTTGTTAAGCTCAGTGGAGCTAAACTCACGAGGCAGCAATTACCCAGAAAACCTGCCTTGCAAAAACTTCTCATTGAGCTGCATTGGGAAGTCTGTGATTGAACAGCCACAGGAAGTTTGGGTGAGGTGGAGGGCTTGCAAAGGTTTCAAGAGATTTGCAGATTTTTAGTTTTTTTTTTTTTTTTTTTTACATATAACCCCCAATAAAAAAGTGCACAATTAAATGCATGCATTTTCTCATTGAGGGTATATCTACTAAACAGTGATTTTTACTTTGTCAGTGGAATGTCCATCTGAGGGACATTTTGTCTGAACCTTGATTTTTTTTTACACCCTTAAAGTAAGTTGTATTGTGTGCCTGAAATAGGCACGTGACATTTGCCATTGAGTCAAGGTCACCCAGTTCCAGTGACGTTGTTAATGTCTCTTGCAGAGGATAACACTTTCCAGCAATACCTGGATGAATATTACCAGCTTGATTATGAGGATATCATTGATGATCTGCCGTGTCGCTTTAAATATCGTCAGGTCATGCCTTGTGACTTCGGACTCTCAACTGAGGAGGTACGTGTGGTTGATATGTAGGTTTTAAACTTGAAATATTTAATACTTTTATTTGGTGAGGGGTGTACATGACCAGGTTCTCAGTCAGATATTCCATAATAGTTCAGAATTTATGTGTAGTCCTGTTTGAGTAAGACCATAGGTTACATTTTAGTTATTTATTTTAGTTGCAAAGTCTGCCCTTTTATGACATTCTCTGTTATGGTGGCAATGTTTGGAACAGTAGGATATATCTACGGTCAGTTATTTGCTGAAGTATAATTGCTTTGTGCACAAAATTGGTAAATTTAGTAGCAATGCAAATTAATAATTATATGTATATACATGCACGCAACACCATCTGGTCCGACTAGTTTGCTTTGATTACAGAGGATCAGCTGCCTGTATGTAACCTGATGTATATGTCCATAAACCTCAGCCTTATCTATCCTCCTTTATAGATTTTAACAGCAGATGACAAGGAGCTAAACAAATGGTGCTCATTACGAAAGACCTGTATGTACAGGTGAGTCATTCTTATCCCAAATGGAGGGTTTATAATGAAATTTAACATTTATGGAACCAAGGTAGAACTTAACATTTCATGGCTGTTTATTGGAACGGCTAGATCAGTCATTATAACAAGTAATAGTGTCTCATACAGTGGATTTTCTAATCAGTATCTGCAATGTCTTGTTTGTAGATCTGAGAAGGAAGAGAGTCACGATATTAAAGTTTTCAGTCAGAAATCGCAGAACGTCTGGAAGAAGCAGCAGATCCTAAAGTCCCTGACACAGAGGTGAGCAATTTTTAAATCGAATAGCTTTCCCTTCAATAATTCTACACATCTTTCCAGTTGCTGGGAACCATGAAAGCACCGTACAGTTTTCCCAGCCCAAACTTTTGGATCGTTCCAACGGACTAACTGCACCTCCTGTTATCTTCTTAAACTGCCGGCTCTCTGAGAATAATAGGGATTAGAGTATAATTTGTTGGTAACCCCATATTCTGTTTATCTTCATAGTGATGACAATGATGAGGCTGCAACAGCATCAAAAAATAAAGTAGGGAAGAAGCGGAGAGACAAACTGAAGAATCTGGAAGAAAAGACATGTGACGGTGCTTTGATGTCAAGTGAAAATAATTCAGAGGACAATGAGCTATCAACAGACGGTATTCCTACCACACCACCACCCGTGGAGCTGGCGTTTGGAGACCCAGTACAGAACAAAGGAAAAGGCATGAGCCAGGATGTATTTATTAAATCGGGATCCAAGACCACAACAAAGACAGATTCCGTGTTAAAACAGGGACACACAGCAGCCCAGATTGGGGAGATGGCCACTGCCAAGCAAGGGGCAAAGAGAGTGCTCCAACCAGAGGACAAACAGAATGTTTTAGGGGAAGCTGGCATCGCACACTTACCGAAGGAGAAAAAGAGGCGAAAATTGGTCAGGAAAGGTGGCCGGTTATTGGGCAGCAAAGTGAAGCTGGGTGGACGGGAGTTCAGTGGGCAGAGGCTGCGGGCATATGGGTTAAATCCAAAGAGGCTGAAATACAGGCAGCTGGGCCGGGAGAGGAGAAAGATGAGGGAGAAGCAGGGGAAAACCAAGGGCCCAACAAAGGACTAAAAACTCCTGAAATGTTTGTCAACAATGGAGCAAATTTGACTTACCATCACTCAGGACTGCTACAGGCACCATGTAATATATCTATACTCTTATACTGTGATATAAATAAATGATTTTAACAAATAGCCTCTTTAAAAAGGTTTATTGCCCTACATAAATAAAACAATTTCAGAATATACAGATTTAATGCTTTGCTCCCTGTTTAAAATGGACATAGACAGACATGTATTCCAGTGTAGACTGAGACGCTCTATATTAAGAGCACGTGTCTCTATTGCCACTGTACATAAAGATTCAGACACCTCCTAATGCTATTATAGCTGCCCATTCTCCAGCATTCGTTCCAGTTGTAGAAAATAGACCCAGATATGACTGACCTATAGGCCGTCCAGATGACAAAGAACTGTAGGTGGCTCTCGGGTCGGGGAGCCTAAGGTATGAAATTATTCTGCAGGGACAGGTTCTATAAATAAAGTTAGCACTACACCTGTCGTCAACCTGATTTATGTATAATAAAGAAAATAGAAAAAAAAAAACACATTATTGCTCTTAATCTGAAAAGTCTACTTCATTCCAAGCATCACCATAAACATTTACTGCAATATTCCCCTAGAACTAGGAGACAAGTGCAAACGTTCCTTTAAAGGAGTTTCTTGTGTGCTCTGTGGCAGCTGAAGGTGATTAGTGTTGCTTCCCTTAGGTCATACATGCCTAGACAAAGTTACCCGAGTACAAGAGGAAAAAAGATTTTTGGATATTGCCAGTGTCTAAATGCAAATAAACAAACTTAATTCTTGTATTCTAAGCAAACAGAGTGGCTTGGTTTTTCTCAGCCTTAGAATAAGTATATTTTTCAGATTAAAACAATTTTTGTAAATTCTATTGTACCTTTTAAGGAGATTAGGATGTTTCCTTGTAGCAGTGCTATCTTCGCTAGCACAGAGAGTCCGTAAATAAACAAAGCCTTTTTTTGTTAAACTCTTGTATTCCCTTTCCCTCTTCCAGTGTAAGATAATGGGACCCAAATCCTCTCGCTTGGGGGTCACCGCCTATGATTTAATTTATACAGACGCTGGGATACCCTCTGTATAGCCAGAGCACAAATGGATTTAACATCTAAACTTCATTCATTTTAATCTTGAAGACACCCTAACTATATAAAAAAAATTGTTAAACGGTAATGTTCCGCTCATAATCCTTATGGTATCCCAACCTGTTTCAAGTAAGACATGCAGTGCTTGAGGTCAGATGCCCTGCGTTTTCCAAGACACACATCACTTTGATATAGCAAAGGGCAGCAAATAAAACACACTACCCTTCCGTTTGTAGAATTCATTTGCTGGAGATACAAAGTTAATTCAGTAATCAAAGCAATCCAACAAGAAGGGCAGAGCTTTCAGTGTGCCACCCAGTTATTGAAAGTGACATGTCCAAGAAAACAGCGTTCTGGCAACACTAGGTGAATAATCACCCGATTTAACTCCTGTACCGAGTAAGAATCAGGGTATGATGGTTATAGGAACTCAAACTCGTCTGAGTTAGGCCTCATCAGCCTTCTCGATGTTTTGTGTTGAGTTTGTATATTCGTATTTTGTGAGCCCTCCGCCCCACTGTATTCCTGAGCTTTTCCATCTGAAATACTGAATACAGGATATTTCTCCTCTCCCGATGGAGAACTCAACACCTACAACAAGAAACAAGCTTTCTCAGTGATGGTATCATATTAGTTAATCACATCCATGAATAATTAGAATCTTGTGTATATGTATAGCAGTTTATCAGTTCTATATATTTTATATAAACCATGAGTATACCACATTTGGTAGCTGGCAAGAATGAACTGCAGTAGGTGGTTACTGTCCATAGCTGTGCTTCTGCGTAATCAATGAACCACTCACGCCAGCACTCCACACACTAACACCACATCCTTTGCAACTGGAATCCATCATCCAAAAGCCCCAATCATTGTACGCTACTAGCAGGCCTTGTACAATTGTGCGCGTGCGTCTGTATACATACTGGCAAACTTTCTATTATAATATATGTTCCTGGGGTTATTAACGAAGGGGGGGAGGGGGTACTTCACAATCATAACGAGTGCCTAGAATGACTTGCCTTCATTAGATGATCACACAGTAAGCCAAAGTCTGTTTTATTTCTGGCATAGAAAGCAAATGTACAGCTGGGATCCATTCTGGTAATGGGCATCTTCCGTGGGGAATTACAGTGAAAAGACTGGATGAAACAGTAGCGAGGTTATAGAAAAACAAAATTAGTTAATGTTGACACAGAATAACACTTTGTTGCTACTGTTTACACAGTTAACTACAACATTCCACATCTTACAGCCTAATATCTAAACCAACCATGGGGTCCCATTCTGCAATTGCAATATAAGATAATTGGATCTGAAAACCCTATTGCTTACTCTTCCCATGGTCTACATTGCATTGGTAAAGGTTGCCTTGCGACAGTAAACCATTTTGTTGTTAGACGATTTGAAGGGTCTGACTAATATGTGACTGTTCTAATCACTATGTACCCAATAAGCTAGTTTCCAGCCTTGTTAACATTATAGTTGCCGTAAAGCAGCACCGTCATTTCCTCTATCCCAAATTAGTATTTCATGAATATAAAATATCTTTATGAAATACTCACATTGACTGTCAGAATTTGACTGAAATTCCAACGTGGTCAAAAGATATACAGAGACAAAGTCTTTTATTCCTATGCTTCACAACAGGCGAAACTACCTTTTGTTAAGCCACCAGCCGTCACGAATGACAACTAAGGGAAAAAAGTCTGTCTGGAGGGTCTCACAAGGTCCATACACCTCAGTGTATTACTCTTGTGTTTGGATTAGAGTACAACTCTGACATTGACTCCTGGCTGCTGAATCACGAGGAGCTGAAGATGACAGGCAGAAAGAGCTTAGCAGCAGCCGTGAGGGACAGGTTCAGGTAAGTAGAACTCACCGTCTCCTGCACCCCTCTGCCACCTCACCACCATCGGGGGTAATTATGCAAACACCCCAGACAGTGAAAGAGCTGCTTTAACTGCCGCTGTTAATGACAGCTGCTATCTTGTCATCTGGTTTCCAATCTTGTTGCTAGTCTTTACCAGTTGATAGGCTTATAACATTTGCTTGCAAAGACACTGACCACTCGCAGATTAGTTAAAATACAGAAGACACTGGTGTAGAGTTTTGAAAGTTAGCGCAGCTCGTAAAATTAGCCGCATGTTTGGAAATATACAGAATAATGCCACTAGATACTGTTTATCGACCCGTTTTGAAGCATCAGCTGAAAAAAATTGCTAAAAATTTTGCCGCTGTTAAAACAGCCACTGCTCACTAACTGTCGTGACAGGCACTTTAGCGAGTACCGGCTGACTGGTAAAGAGTAGTGACAACATTGGAAAAGAGTCCCTGAATCAGGGGTGAAGAACTACTGATCTACTACCTATGGTCACACCGAAAGCCAGTCCCATAACTATTCAGAATCAAAAATCACCAGGGCACACACTGACTCCTGTTCATCCACATTTACCTCTAGAGGAAATTCATCCTTGCTGGTATCGATGTACGGTTGGCAGTAATGCGGATCCAGGTATAAGAGATTATTATCTGGGAAAGAATATCCAGTTCTTGGTACTGACATAATGTAAAACACTCCAATAAGGAGGGACAATGTGCTTTATAATAATTTAAACTGAAAATCTATACATACCTTGGTAACCAATGAAATACAGGGAGTGTTTTGGTTTTCCTCCAATAATACCCAGACAGGATTGCATCCGCAAAAACTCCTAAGAAAGAAAATTGATATAAATATAAAATAAACACATTTAATCAATTGCCCTGATTCTTAGGATAAGTGAAGCATAGAAAGGGGAAATTGTAATTTATCTGTGTGTACACACAGTATTTCCCAAAGCCCCTACCCCATCCTGTCTTTGTCACAATCTCATACTTCACAACTGACCATGTGTTTGTGGGGCATTGCCAAATTCAGGTTTCTGTCCCACAATGGGGGTCAGTGTCCTGCATCTGAGGATACCAGAGCAATGCCCCCAATCAGTGCAGAGCGAGCGTATCAATAGAAGGTACTGTTCAAAGCTGAGTAAACCGAGTAGAGCATAAAGTCCATGCACAGAGCATTTCAGCAGTACTCTGACAGGTACTGTGGCAGGCCCCACACTAGGCAGCCCATGTTGAGTCAGACTAACATGCCCATTTAATGACTGGTCTATCGCTATATCAGGTGGACACACTTCTCATCAGTCTGAATAGAAGGAGCAGGCTGTATGTTACTCTGCTGATCATGGACCAATCAGTGACACTGTATTGAGAGGAAATCACAGATACTTTCTTCTTACCTTGACACAGTGTTTGTACACAGGATTGAAGGCTTCTCCCCCTAGACGCACAGGCACAAGGACTATAACTGCCCTTCCCACAACGCTGCCGTCTGACGGAGGATCTTCACCGAGCAACTGCTCAACATCTCCCCTGTACACTGGGTTACAGAGTGCACTCCATTAATAGCAAACAGAAACAGATAATGCCACTGCATACAGAGTCTCTTATGTACCAGTCATGCAATGAGAGTATTGTCACCTACATGTGTGCATCACTTAGATAGACTCAGTGCTAGTTTCATACCTGTGCAGTCCTGAGACACGTAGACAGACAGCTCAGGTACTTGAGATGCTCTGTCTAAAGCTTTCCTACAAGAAAGAAATGGATGTGAGAAACTGATAATAGGGGGAACGGTCACGTCCCAAAATCATTTATATTAAATTTACTTATCGCTATATTTAAAAAAATATGTATTTTATGAGGTGTGATATTGCATTGACTGTAGTAACGCACGGCTCTTCATCCTGCAATGGACACCTCCCTCTTGGCTCCCTGTCAGTCATTGTAATAAGCTCTGTTCTTTACACTTGGCAGTTAGAACAGAGAAAACATACAGAGAAGATGAGAAATGAAACAATGTTTTGTTTTTTGTCCCCCCTCTTCATTTTCAATGTTTGCCCTGGCATTGCCGTTTCTGCACTGGATTAAGATGCGATGTGCTAAATCTTGAATGTAAATATAAATATAAGAGAAAACATCTCATGAAAAAAGGTTAAGACATGTTACAGGTGATTTTCAATATTTTATTCAATATGCGTACATTTCAGAGAAGTGACAGTTCCCCTTTAAATCCAACTATAGTGCTGTGATGTCACACTCTGCTGTTGGTCTCTATGATGTTGTCACGGAACATTCCATGGAATGTTTTCAGGTTGCTAGGCCAGTGTGCTCCAAACTGACCGTGCAGCAACAATGAATGATATATGTGGCAGAAACACAAGCTACCCAGCTGAGGGTTAAAGGTTAGTTTCAGTTTTAAATGATCCGGCCCAGCTTTTTAACAGATAAGGGTTATTCACAGAAGTGTATACGGTAGTAATTCAAATGGGTGTTTTGGCCTTAAGGCTAAAACTCTAATTGTTTTCAGTTTGGTTGTTTTGGTCAAAAAACTTGAAAGTTCACTTAAATTCACTTAAGCAAATACCTCCAAGGGCTCCATTTGCTAAACACAGAAGTGTAGTGAATTGAAAACAGAATTACAAAATGGAGGATAAAAACAGCCAAGTTACAACTATAGCAGTGAAGAAGATTTTTTTCCAAATCGGCCATTTTAGTCTAAATATTGAAATTTGGTTTTAATTCACTTCAATTTTGTTGTTTATTGAATAAACCCCAATTGTCTAATCTAATTTAAAAAAAATAATACTTTTTCATAAACTGCTTTATATACTGGGTAAGTCTGGTTCATATCTTCTAATATATATGGATATATCCCATCTTGTCAATCATGTCACCCAAAAAGATTAATTCTGGAAAGTTTCATATGAGTGTAGTGGGATCTAAGCATTGAACACCTAACGCAGCACAGACAATGGTTGTTCACCAACGTGAGAATAATTTAAAATGAATTTCAAATTTAAAGCCAAAGTAGCCAAACTGAAATTAGAGCAGAGTGTGAGGAATTTTCCACTTTGGCCTTTAATTTGAATTCCCTTTGAAACCACCCTTTAGTGAATAATCGTGAGAATGTTTCTTCTCCAAATTTGTTCAAAAACTATTGAAAAGTTGTTTAGATAAATACAAATTGTGGACTTATTCTCTAGGCCAAGGGTAGACAACCTTCGGCACTCCAGATGTTGTGGACTACATCTCCTACAATGACTTAAGTCCATAATGTTAGCAAAGCACCATGGGAGGTGTAGTCAGGGCCGGCGCTACCTGTTAGGTGGACTAGGCAGCCGTCTAGGGCGCCCCTTGGGAAGGGGCACCGCCAGGAGCGCCGGCCCCCCTCATGCTGCAGCCGCCCGAGCGCTCTGTAGAGAGCCTCAGGCGGCTGCAGCTTTGCCCGCCCGGGCGCAGCCTGAGGAGAGGGGCTGACAGGAGGGAAGCGCTCCCTCCTGTCACTCCCTCACTGTAGCGTGACCGAGCCCTGTATGGTCTGCGGGTACAGGGAGCATCTGTCTCTTGTACCCGGCTGGACTAACAGGAAGTGTGCACTTCCTGTTAGTCCGGCTGGGTACAGGAAACAAAAGCTCCCTGTACCCGCGGACCATGACACAGGGCTCGGCCACGCTACAACTGAGGTAGGGGGAGGGGAGCATGAAATTGGGAAGGGGGGGAAGAAAGAGAGTGACAAGTGGGGGGGAGAAAGAGAACAAGTGACAAGTAGAGAGAGAAAGAGGGAGGAGGAGAAA